TATTTGGCCGTACTTCTCGTCGAGCTTGTGTATCTGATTCCTAGCTCAGTGGGCAAAAGTGAAATATGTGGCTGTTTCACAAGGTCTCAGAGACTCACTGCTGTCTGCGCTGTGGACCTCCATCATGCCAGGAGCTACCTGGTGTAACGATGGCACATAAACCAAAGCACATATTTCAACTCCACCCAATTGGGGAAAACATAAATATCATCAACAATGCCCCAGTGCTTTGGTAGGTAGTTCCAGGTCATGAAGTTGTTTTATAGTTTTTCTTTTATTTCAAGAGTTGGAATCCAGAGCTCATAACGCAAGTTGAAAAGAACTGACTAGAGGTTGACAGAATAAAGCAAAAGGCAAGTCAGTGCCCAGCTTTCATGTAGCGGAGACATTCAAATTAGCGAAACCACTTAATGCTGTACAAGCAGTCTGGCGCTTGTACATTTGGTAAATCCTGAGCCCTCATTAAACATCAGGTAACTAAAGCTGCAACTGGTATTTCTTCGACCTATATGCATAGCACAGCTGCCCTGTGGAGTCTACAGCTTGAAATGGCACAGTATAATGGGGTCTAACTAAAGGATGTGTTTAGTCCCCAATTTCCTTTCCATACCTCGGCTGAAAATTGTAATTCATGCTTAACTATGGCTCCACAGGCATCAGCACTCCTCGTTTCTCGGTGTGTAAGCCTGGATAATGTCAGCGGACTATTGGACTGCGAGTATGTTTGCCACCCAGCCAGCTTCTCACCAGCACAGGGGCTAACAACTGCAAAGAGAGTCAAAAGGTGTAGGGTGCGGTTGGGGGGTGGGAGGGGGGGGAAATGATCGAAATAGGCAAATAAAAAAGGGACTCGGCAGTCTGACTGAGGGGAGGCAGCAACGATGGTCAAAGGAAGGTGACCTTGTCCTGCCCTGGCTCTGCTTATATCCGTCGGCACCATTCCCACTCTTTCCTGTCTCCGAGGCTTGGTTTTTTTCATTTCAGAAAGTAGTAGATCTAGTAGTGGGAGAATTGTTGCAGTTGAACCCAATCCTGTCCACACGAGCGCAGGTCCAGCAAGGGTCAGTGGGCAGTAATCAAGGCTGGGACACAGAGGTCAACTGTAGGTCTTTCACCTCTGCCCTGGCTCATATTAACTAACTCAGCACAGGCAAAGGACCAGGCTTAGAATTGTCTTCATCCGTGCAACTCAGGATCTCACCTTGTGCTGTATTTATCTACTGAGCCTTGAGGAGCCATGATTAGGAATTTATGTTAGTGAGGCTCATTTTACTTGTAACTTGACAAGAGAAAAATATGGCTGCTGAACAGTAAACCGTAATGAATTATAAAATGCTTTCAAATCACTAACATTGGCATGTAGGCAATTCTCCGAACACATCTATTGCGTCTTGTTTCACATCATGGCACTGGTGATTCTGGATTTCTCCCACTCTATATGATCTTGCTTATTCCATGTTCAGCTGTGGAAAGTGTGTTAGATGATGTTTTTGAATGACCCCCTGCCTAAACAATTTAGATCTGGAGACAATTTGCAGTGGGAGTTAGGGGCTTTTGTGGAGCCCCAGAAGGAAATGGGGAGGGAGTCGAGGCTGAGCGAGAGACAGGGAGAGAGTGGAGGGTATGAGAGAGATGGGGAGGGAGTGGAGGGTGTGCGAGAGATGGGGAGAGAGTGGACGGTGCGCGAGAGATGGGGAGAGAGTGGACGGTGCGCGAGAGATGGGGAGAGAGTGGAGCCTGAGCAGAAACTGGAGATTAAAGACGATTTCGGTTGGGAGGCAGATACAGGTAATTAGCATAACCATTGCAGCCACTTTACAATACAATGCCAAATTTTGAATCTTGCTGCTCAGTCCAGTTTTTGCAGCACTTTAGCAAATCAACTTAAAACTGCAGTATAAACAAAGCACAAGTGACTGTAAATACATTCTGCAAATACTGTGTTAGCCTAAGTAGATTGCTGGAATGCTCATCTCTCTTGAATCTTGGAAAAACAGAGCAGGTGGTGAAAGGAACTTTTGTTGCGAACCGTAGCATAAAGTTCATAGGATATTGAAGGTTTTAGCTGGTTAAACTCAAACAATATCCCAAAAGTACATTCTGGAGTCCCTGTGCCTTGGCTCTTGCCAACCTGTACCTAATGCTTTCCAGGATTAGGGAAGCAGGGTGTATGTCTCTGGGGAGAGAGTGAGCATTCCATTCCAAAATTCCTCCACATCGCGGAACTCTTAGTCTGGTTGAATACTCTTAAGCACAGAGTAAACAAAAAAACTTAGTTCACCGATCAATTGTATATTAGTGGAAAAGAGGTTTCTTTGCAATTCGTCTTACGAAGATTAATGTATTATAGGAAGCCAAATGACCTGCTTCTGTGCTGTAAACTTTGCAACATTTTATCGTAATTCTACGATGGTGAACCAGAGACTAAAAAAAATCCTTAGGTCTGCAGAAAACCAAGTCACATGGGATCCTCACTTCAAAGGCAGAGGAAACAGATGCATACACATGGTGTACTGCCAGGAATTAGACACACACCTGGGCCTGATCCTTTTGTCGAGGGAAAATACATGCATACTCATTCTTCATTACCAGGTAGCAGGCACTGTGCCCCTCACTCTCGAATTCATCATCCTCCCCAAACCATCAGCGATAAACACTCAAGCTCTTCTTTGGAGCACTGGGAATCAAATAAGGCAACTTGAAAACAATCTGCCACCAGAAAATATCCCACATGTTCACTTCTGGACCACAGCGATCAGACGCAGGCAACATTCTTCCCAAGACTCACCATCCTGACAGCATTGCTGGGGTCAGTGGCCTGAGATCAAATGGTACCACAATATGACCATCTACTTTTGGGTAGAGAGGGAAAGAGATTTTAGACTGCTGCCAATGTATTTTTTGACAATATTTTTTAAGCCAGAGTGCAACAAAACTTCAAATTGGACAAAATTTAAGTGGAAAGTATCTATTGCCCAATTTAGACCTCATATATCAGAATTCAAATTACAGTAGATTGCATCCTTACTGTCCATACAGTACAGGTATGTTCCACAAATGACTGGGATGAAGTCAAGCACAGTAGAAAGAATATTAAGTGTTGCCAAAAAAGATACACAGTATAAATGGGGAAAAATATAGCAATTTTTGTAAAATAGTAAAATATATGCATCTTTAGAACAAAACGTATTTTTGTCCCAGTTTTAGGTACTCTTTTGTTTTTAAAGTAGGAGAAACAGAAATCATACTATTGTTAAACAAACGGAGACCAGCTGTGACAAAAATCAAGAAAAACAGTGGTTCCTAGTTTCTCGAGTAATGATTGATTGAAACCGAATCCTTATTGATAGTGGTTCAAAATTGGTAGCAAAGATCAACAAACTTTTTTNAAGTCACTGCTTATCAAATGTAGATCAGTATCCTAAGTTCTGTGACCAATTGATTAGGAACATTTGAAGTTTTGCTAAAATGCATGGAAGTTCAGAGCAATAGATAATGAGACCTTAAACTGTATCATGTTAGAATCTGGTTGCTAAAAGGAAAGCATAAAGGGGGTAAAATCTATGAAGAAAGTAACAGGCTAAAATCCTTAAAAAGTCAATAATAGACACAAATATTGAGGTAAGATTAAAATTATTTATGGTTGTAAACAAGGTGGCTGATGACTGTAACAGCAAACACACCTCATACACCCTAAACACAATAATAAAGACACTACAGGTATCAGAGTACTCATCTATTATAGAGCTTAACATACTACAGCCTTAAATTTATCGTAGTCTTTAAGAAGTGTAAGACTTATGGAAAGTTTCTCAAATCAATCCTTAATTCAGAAGCTTGTTTACCATAGTTCTTATGAAGAACTGGCTTCAAAATTAACTCAGAATTTGTAAGAATCTTGCACAATTCTTACATTTTAAATGGGCTCCCAGTCAGCTGTGTGAAACGCTTTCAGATGTCCTCCAACATGAAACATGTTATATAATGTATGTAGTTGTAAAACAAAATAACAGTCTTTTAGACCAGATAGAATTTCAGGTCTTATATATGCAGACACAATGTTATGTTTCATTTGAAACAGTGATATGCCATGTACAAGTGACTGAAAATAAACTGAAATAATCTTTTTATGACTTGTTAAGAAACTCATTGAGGAAACTGAGAGGAGGTCTGTTCAATTTGTCTGCTACGCTGCTCCTGGAACAGGTCCTACTGTAGCGAAATAAGCCAATCTGCGTTTTGTCAACAGTGTATCTTTAGGAACTTAAATTGTTTATAACAACAAAACAAATGTTGTTTCATGAGCTGGGTGTCTGACACATGCGGGAGCTCATCACTGTGCTTTCGAATATTCAAACCAAACTGAGAATTCCATGCATCCCACCTGCACATGGAAACTCCAGAGATATTTGTTGGGATGGAATGTGCACTCTCTCCCTGGAGGGAAGCATCCTGTGTAACGCCATTACACACTGCAGTGTAGTACCCAAGCACCATGATCTGTTTGAAACAAGCGCAGGAGACAAAATCTTGACCCATCACCGGATGCACACTTGCCGTCTGCATTAATGAAGTACCAGATGCGCAGTTCAGTGTACTTTGTTGAAACAGCGCAGAAATCAAGGTACTTGTTTATTATATTTGTTAGTCGTATAAAGTTTGATTTATACAAGTTTGGCTTTAACTCTGGCTTCTTGTAAGTCATATTAAATGTTGTGGTCCTGACTGATATGACTTATGCAAGTTTTAATATAATTAGAAATGAAGTCCAACATAGGCAAACTTAGTGGCAGCTAATTTACTTGAGTAACAACCCCAAAAAGAAAAGTAAGATGAATAGTCAATCTAATCATAATTATTGAATGAATTTCAATGAGGGACAAATCTTACCAGGACAACTGGTAGAAAACACCATGCTTTTTTTCCAACAGTAAATATTAATTTATGACCATAATAATATTTATTTATTCATGACTATCTGCTTTTTTTGTGATCTACAGCAAAAAGTGAGCATATGGTAGCAGAAGCAGGACTCCGGGAGACACAGAAAAGGTAGAGTGTTCACATTTCTAACTGTTACACTCCTTGTATGAGCATGTCAGCAGTTTTCAGAGTATATTTTGCCTGATAAAATAAGGTGCTAGTTCCTTTTGAAATGCTAAGAGATTTTACAGGTATGTTTGATATTTTAGAAGTTTGATAATCATACATTTCTTATTATGAAATCTGTTAATGAATATTGCAAATTAAACCCTGATGTGTGTTTTTGGAGTCTGTTGGCTCACATCATCAATGTCATACTGCACATAGAAAGGGAAGTTAAGTACACATCAGGATACATTGAATTGATATTGTCACTTGCAGTCTTTTAACCAGTCACACCCTAGCTCCTAAAACTCACTGCATGCAGCGCTGGAGGTATCCTAACCTTTGGATGAGATGATAAACCGAGGTCCCATCTGCCTGTTCAGGTGGACAATAAAGATCCCATGGCCCAATCCCCCAAATAAAATTGGTCATGATTGATTTTGGGGCAGTGTTGTGTGCAACTGGCTGCCACATTTCACCCACAAAATACAGTCAAGACACTTTACAATATATCCTGTGAAGCACTTTGGGACATCTCAACAATGTGATAAGATGCTATTTCAAATGGAAGGATTATTATGCAACAAGACTCATTTAGAGAACAAGTAATACAGACCACAAAGGGATAGTGGGTAGCCCCACATAGGAGTTGAGACCTCAGGTTGCTAATTTTAGGGACATCTACTGTCTACGCAGTCATTTCTAATGGGATTATTTCATTAATGAAGCACAAATGTGCAGCACACCAGCTTCCAGTTTTGCCACTCTGCTGTGATCTACTCTTGAAATGCTTGAGAAATGAAAATTTCTCAAGCATTCTGCAATGTATGTCATCAGCTGTACTGTGCACACACGGTGCTTATTAATAGAGTATTTACAAGCGGGTTGCAGTTTAATGCATGCATCAACTCACCAACAGGCGCCACAGAGTTTCATTGCTCTGTTGCTCCAGTGAGCTCCGAAATTAAGTACTGTTATTTTCATGTGCACATATTTAGAATCAAAGAATAGCAATTATGTAAGTCTAGCTAAGTTGGTAGCACTCTCGCCTCTGGGTCAGAAGGTTATGGGTATAAGGCTCACACCAGGATTTGAGTTTATAATCCAGGTCTGACGCTTCACTACTGTACTGAGCATGTTCTGTGCTGTTCAAGGTAAATGTCATTTGGATGAAATGTTAAACCAAAGATCTATTTGTCTGCTGGTTTGATCGGGTGGGTGTTAAAGATTTCATGGCACAATTTCAAGGAAAAGCAATGAATTCCTTTGATATCCTGGTCACTGCCTGCCACACTTCATGCCTCCTGTCCCGGTTGCAGAATTAAAACCCCCCCTACACTCAGCTTATGACAGCAACATAAGTAACTTTAAAATATACATGATTTTATTATACAAATATGTTTTTTTCAAAGTTTTATGGTTTGTACTTTGCAGCTCAAGCACATTCCTTTGCATTCAGATGATTCCCTCAGGCGCAAATGCTCAATGGGGTGTTTAAATTTTTTAGTAACATGTACAAATAATTTTTCTAATTATAGGATATTCTGTTTTTATCGATTAATAAGACATACTATTTTGCCAATAGCTTTCCTATTCTCCAAACTGAAAAAAACAATTAAACAAGTTGAAAAGAGTGCAAAATACAGCATTTAAGAAGTAAGAAGCATTTAAGAAGACTCATGGAGTCCTGTAGCTCAGTGGTTAGAGCACTCACTTTGCAAGCGAGAGACCTGAGTTCAATTCCAGGCAGGGCGAAAACTTGACCTAATAATAATCCCTCAAAAAAAAACAAAAAAAATAATAAATCGGTCATTTTCAATCCACGACTGTTTGTGGAACATTGCTATGTGATATTGGCTGCCGCGTTCGCCCACAAGTATGCAGTCAATTCACTTTACAGTGTGTTCTGTGAAGCGCTTTGGGACATCCTCCCGACGTGAAAAGTGCTATATCAAATGCAAGGATTATTATTTTTATTATTATTATTATTAAAAGAAAGATTTTAGGTGTAACCTGCTTTGTTTTTAACAAAAAAATTATATTTCCCACTTACTGATAAATTTATCAAACTTGATTGTTTTGAGGCCACAAACAGACTTATTTTCTTCTTTCTTCAGGGAGGACTGTATAAATAATTTCCATGGTTACTTATATTTCTTGAATTCTACCTCAAAAAGTGAATGGCTAGTTAGTCAATCTGTTCATTACGAAGAGAGTTTTCACAAGAAAATAGTAGGACAGCTTGGTTCAATATGTTCCTGAGTTAGGGATGGAGGTTACAAGATTTCAACACCTCTTCTTGGCATTGGAAATGTGCCAGGTGAAACTGCCAGCAAAATGCAAAGTTCATTAGATGTGGGGTGCAGGGTGGGGGGTTGGGGCTTGGACCATTAAATCAGGCTGAATTGCAGCCTCTGAATATTAAAGAGGCCAATGGACCTTTTGCCAAGTCTAGTTCAGAGATGGAGTGAATCATCAGAATGCATTAAAAGGAACGGTGAGGGCATTATTGGCATTCCCTGATAGTGGAACATCAGGCAAGGAATGCTTTGAACAGTCATCAAAGGAAGTTTACTGTCTTCCAAGGGGCATCAGAAGATTGTGTTGAAATAAGGGGCAGCTGCTGTCAAGAGATCCGAACATGTGTCTCAGCAGTGCTTTACTTAGGCCTCTGAGGCTGGGTATTGCTTCACAGCTTCCAGAATACACATGTTTCTTCTAAGAAGTTAATGAAGATCACAGTTGACTGTGTTCCTTCTCCAGGCTATCTAACCTTGACCGTGGGGTTTATTCAATTCAGTGCCTGGCTGGTGGTCTACTCCCAAGCTGTCCATTGTTTCAGATGGAATGATGAGATGTGCTTCAGAGCTGGGTGTTGCTGCTCTCTGAACAGAACATCTTTCACAATTTTGCAACAAAAATCCTGAAAATGTTAGAATTGAAAAGAGCAAAAACTCTTCGGTCGTGGTGAATCTCATTTTCAGATGCTGATCTATTTACTGTGCATTTGCCATCAGCCACGATTTTTTCCATCAAAAGACCTGTGTTGATGAAAAAATATTTTTCCATGTTTTCCAAGCATTAATCGAACATTTCTCAATCATCAGCTCTGCTGTTGTTAGTTCGTGGTTAAGGTGCTGTTTGTCTGATCTCGCTGTCTGATTGATAGCCACATGGATTTGGAGTCTGATAATTGGGATCCAGCCAAGTCTGTGAGCAGAACAAACTTTTGGCATGCATTGGATATGATGTGTTGAGACAATTCAATAACATAAAAATTCAATATTTTACATTATTATATTATTTATATCGGAATAATAAGGCTTTTTTGTGTAATGCTCCTGGTGACTAGTTGATTTCATCAAGAGCAAGAGATTATTGACCAACTATTGTGTTCTCATTGGTTAGAGTCTCTCTCTGCCTAATTCATAGGTCTTCAATCTTAGCATTGTCATCAGAGTGGGGTGTAAACTACACCGTTGCATAAAGGTATTAGGCTGACATAACATAGCCTAATGTACTTCTCACAGTTTATTTTTTTCCAGAGAGAAAATTAGAATAGTAGTATTTATAATATTTGGCAAATTGGCTCAAATTGTAAATGTAACTAATTCTCATATACTTCACATTTGATTGCAGGCTTACTAATGAACTGTGCTAGTTGTCTTGTTATTCGTTATTTTTATATCTACCATGAAGTAATAGAGTCCCATTAGCTTGTACAATCGAGTGCCTGACTCCCAACTATGTAGTTGTGAGTTTAATTTCCAGGAATAAATGTCACTTGGAGCAGCCCGACTTACTTGGTTGCATTTGGTCAGTTCTTCATTAAGTCTGCTAGATACAAATACAAAGTTACATTTGTATAGCGCCTTTCACGTTGGGAGGATGTCCCAAGGCTCTGGACGGCTGCTAGATAGGCTGCTCCTAGGACCATAGTATCCCATTTCAAGCACAGAACAAAAATATATCATCTTACAGAAGCCATTGAATTGTGCCTATTGTTTGTTTAATATCGATTGCTAATAACGGGTCATCCAAAGGACAGCACCTTCAACAATACAGCTTTCCCCCAGCACAGCACTGGAGTATCGGACAAGGCCGTGAGGCCAAATTCCCAACATAGGCCTTGAACCCACAAACTTTTGACTCAGAGGCGAGAGAGTTACAAACTAAGCCAGGCTTACACCCACATTGGAACACTTACGGTGCACAAAATATTTCTTACATAAACAAAAACCTATTTTACAGAACTTTTCATTATTTCTTTCCTGATTGTGCCAATTTTTATTTTTACCTACTGTCCCTCCTTGAAGGATTACCAGTAGCCATTACCCTACCATTACCAGTAGCCAGGATAGGAAGGTGTTTTACCGCAGGGTCTCTATCCAATACAAGGTGTGAAATATTTCCCTGACCCTCCCCGCTCACATCTACTTGTCATGTAGAGGATTGCCATGGGAACAACAATTAAAATTAATTTTTAATAGTTACTCATGTTGGACATTAGAAAAGTAAAGTGTTGCCTATTTTATAGTGCATTTTTTGCCCTTTACATGCAGCTACTTGCAAAAAATCAGTGTGACATCTAACCTAATTGTGTTTTACAACAGTATACCCTTTCTATAATATTGTGGTTTATGGGAACCATACAAATGCATGTAGTAGCAAAGAGGTTGTAATACAGCGGGTGATTTATAGGGTTTCTCAATTAATGAGGGAGCCATAAACAGCGAACGTGATATCAAAGGTTGTGGTATATCAGAGCGTGTTACTTAACTGTATTTTACACAGCTGGACAGTCAGTCTCAACCTTGACCAAATATTCTTTGATCCAGTTTGCTCCATGCACATACCTTCCGAATAGGTATCCAGATCTAAATGACCTTTTTCTGCTAACATGCACTTGCAATTTGTTATTTTTTCAGTGGCTCCTAAATATATCAGAATTTTATGGGTCATTA